ACCGTGCGCAGCACCTTCATGGTCTCCTGGACTCGTGTTGTGAAGTTTTTCCTGCACGAAGCCAAGAACCCACACATTACCGGCCAGCCCCAGGCAGATCCGCCAGGGCAGGTCCCCTTTCCCGTAGCAAAACCACTTGAGGGCTTGGTGGGATGCTGGCTACATGGTTGTGTATTCAGTTGGTGAAAATTCACAGGACTAAACACAAACTACACCCCCTCTCCTGAGTGTCCTTCATACAGTAGATACTCCAAAAAAAGGTTTTTAAAATGGGGTTTTGTTAAATGTTGGGTTGATCATGTCTCTCCTAGACACCCCCCCCCCACCTTTCACAAACAATAAAGTCCAAGCTTCTTAGTATGACTTGGAAGTCCTCTATGATCCCCTTCCTGTTAGATAGGACAAGGGTCTCAAGGTCAGGGCAGTTCTAAATGTTTTTTCTTGCTAATGTTAACATGGAGCACAGTATTTTATAGATCCCGCTGTAAACTGGATGAGCTGACAGGAAATCAAGGGATGAAAGTAACCAAGTCTAGCTTGGCCAGCATGGCTCAGTGGTTGAGCATCAACCTATAAACCAGTAGGTCACAGTTCAATTCCTGGTCAGGACACACATCCAGGTTGTGGGCTCAATCTCCAGTGTGGAACGTGCAGGAGGCAGGTGATGCTCGACTCTCTCTCATCATTCATTGATGTTTCTCTCTCTCTCCCTCTCCCTGCCTCTCTGAAATCAATAAAAGTATTTACTTAATAATTTTTTTTAAAGTAGTCAAGTACATGCCTTAACTGGTTTAGCTCAGTGGATAGAGCGTCGGCCTGGGGACTGAAGGGTCCCAGGTACGATTCCGGTCAAGGGCATGTACCTTGGTTGCAGGCACATCCCTAGTGAGGAGTGTGCAGAAGGCAGCTGATCGGTGTTTCTCTCTCATCGATGTTTCTAACTCTCTATCCCTCTCCCTTCCACTCTGTAAAAAATCAATAAAATATGTTTTAAAAAATAAAACTAAAAAATAAAGTAGCCAAGTACAGCCCAGATGGCGTGGCTCAGTGATTGAGCATCAACCTATGAAACAGGAGGTCCCAGTTCGATTCCCGGTCAGGGCACATGCCTGGGTTGTGGGCTCAATCCCCAGTGTGAGGCATGCAGGAGGGACCCAATCAATGATTCACTCTCATCACTGATGTTTCTCTCTCTCTCTCTCTCTCTCTCTCTCTCCTTTCCTCTCTGAAATCAACAAAAATATATTTAAAAACTTAAAAGTAGCCAAGTATAAAGAAGCCAACATATAATTGACCAAACAGTGTACATAAGAATAGCTAAGCCTCTCTTTTAGAAGGCAGAACCTCCTGTCTCCTTTACTTGCTGCAAGTAAAACTACCTTGTGATAACTACATCTCCTTTTTGACTATTGCAACCCAAGCAGCAAACCCCTTGAGTTTGGTAACATTCCCACATCTTCTCCATTCTTCCTCCTCCCAGGCCAGTGTCTGCACTGCTGCAGGACACTGCTGCACTTTCTTACCACCACGTGCTCCCAGGGCTGGACCTGCACTAGTCCACGTGCAGCCGTTGACCTGGACCAGGCTCCTGACCCTGGACCCATGACAGGTGTGGCCTGGGCAAGACACACTCCGACACACCTTGTACATAGTTTCTTACGTTCCTCACTGTCCTGATATGACAATGTTTCCGACAGTGTGGGTTAAAAGGAATGTTACTACTTGGCTCCTTCTTGCGCTCCATTATGCCCTACTTGGGGCTCTTGCCGCTCCCAACGATTTGTTTCATGATTAACAGCCTTCAGTTTCCAGTAAACCAGTTTCCATGGACCACCTGCACTGGCCCCCACCTGCCCCTGGGCCCCCACCTGCCCCTGGGCCCCCGGCCCCGGCCCCCACCTGCACCTGGGCCCCACCTGCACCCAGACCCACCGGTTAGTCTGACCGACCTTTACAAGAGACATAAATATCCCGCTCCCCTGCTCTGCCCCATTGATGCCATTTTGATCTCAGCCCTTCTGTTCTTAGAAGTAAATTTATAATTCTTTACCACCTTTGGCCTCCTGCATTCCCCTTTCGGCAACCCTAACAGTTACTAAAATTGTCACATGTTATTCCGCGGCCTCTAAAACCGTGGTAAGTCACGTGTGCGCCGGGCTTCCGTCCCACAGCGCAGGCGCCACGGCCCGGCGCTACGCAGCACATCCTCCGGGTGGGCTGGCAGCTGCGGAAGGAAGTCGGCGAGCGCCTCCGCGCGGAAGACACGCCGGAGCCGCACTTCTGCGGCACTTGGGCGCCGGGCGTGCGTGAGCGCGCGCCGTCCGCC